ACCCACCAAAAAAAAAAAAAAAAAAAAAAAAAAAAAAAAAAAAAAAAAAAAAAAAAAAAAAAAAAATCACTCTTTACCTCCTATTCAAAACTTTACTCCTGTGAACAGTGAAGTGATTAAAATACTAACTATATTAAAAAAAGAAGATAGAGAGAGTGCTTTTGAACACACCAAAAGAGAATACAGTTTAATCGTACACTGGGACTTGTTAACTTGTATTCCCTTCCTCATATACTTCCCCCCCCCCGAAGAGAGTACTTAAAATTTAAACAGCCAATTTAACAGCCTGTTGGATCCTTTAAAAAAAAAAAAATCAATAGGCACTGTCTGAAAGCTGAAATTTGCAACTCCTACAGTTACAGCTGAAATACACAGACACTCCTACTGGTTGCTATTTCCATTTAAATGAAAGTCCAATTGGCAAATGCAGAGAAAGTGTTTCTGAGCAGCCACAGTTCATTCAAATCATTTTAGAAAGGAAAACATTTAACTTTTCTTTTGCTGGCGACTGAGTAGCTAAACCTCAGGCTACAGCACCGGGTTTAGTACTGCATCTGCAGGAGTCAGGTTTCAATGCACAAATTTTATGATTCAATATGCCCCAAAATCTATATTTTTATGAAGCTGATACAGCTTAGAAAATAATTTCAAAACAGAATATGTATGGACTAGGTCAGAGCCCAGAAAATGTATAACTGATAGAATGGCATCATCCTGACTATGGATGTACAGGGGTAAGACACTTATATGGGATCAGTAAACACATGACAGTGCTTACAGGCTTTTAAAAGAGAGGCTTCTATAAGAAGCTGAAGTAATAACAGACATTTGAAAGCATCTCTTGAAATACTGGACTACTTGTGTTAACTTTTAGATTCACTGATATTTAGGGGTTGATCACAGATGGAAACAGTTTAAACCATTCAAGTACTCCAATTGCTAATACTTCTCTTCAGAAAAGTCCATTAATCCAAATTTGTGCCTCTGTCTCTCTGCAAACTTCCCTACATCTCACTTAACCTTAACAACCCAAAACCTCAGAACACTCTAATATCAAAAACCTATGTATCAATTAATCTTTAAAAACAAGCTTTACCTTGACTAAACTTGCCATGATCTTAGAAGAAAGCACAGGCTTGAATGTTTCAATTGTAACGGTATCCAGTTTGACGACATCAGTATAGCACTGATACAGCACTGCAGGAATCTGCCATACTTGACAGTAACTCAGAACTAGATGAAGACCAAGAGAAAACACAAGTTACATCAAAGAGTGTATGTAACATCTCTCAGCTCAGTAAAATAAAATATGATTGTGCTCAAACTCAGCATTCTAAACAAAGAAGTTGTTAAAACCTTCTCTGTGTATAAACTACTGAATTTCAAATCTTATTACAGGTTCTCACATTCTCTTGGTATCTGAGAACCTAAATTATAAAAGGGGCTTGTAAAAATGAGTTAGTTAGTATTTATTGCTGGGCAATGTTAATCAGGAAGTACCAGTGGGCAGAATGAGACTTTGCTTAAAATCCACTTTACTTTCTTATGTTAATACAAAACACCCCATACTATCAAGAACTTTTGTGGTAGATAATGTTTTCCTCCTAAATCAGTAGGCTGTCAGCATCCTTCAGCCAACAATTTTTATGATTATTTACATATACTATCCTTGATGAGAATTTGAGCAGGTCTAATAGTTTTCACTGTGAAAATGATTTTACATGTCTGATTAGGAAAGAAATTATTAACAGGCTGAATCAATGAATCAATCACTGTACATTATCCAATATGAGGAACTGTTCCAATACCACAACAGATATTTAGCTACTTCAGTGATGGGGCATTCAAAATACCTTGAGTTAACAGAAAATTATACAGCTAAGTCAGAGAATACAATGTAAGTGGCATAATGTTACTTTGTATATGATAGGTACTAAATTATGTAAAAAACCTTTGCTAAACTGACTGCTTTACTAGTAGCTTTGTAAAATGCCAAAATATTATGCATTATTTTTTGGGAGTTCATGGTCCTGCCCCATTCACTACATTTTGGAAAAAATTTGAAAGTTAGGATCAAACATTTAAATGCTGTTATTCAAAATTAATGTATTCAACAACCTAGCTTGTAGCAGAATGCAAGGATGTTTTTGCAAAAGAAATGGTTGAATATAAAAATGAAACTAAAGTTCCAATATACCAGCAGCAGGAAGGTCCTGTACAATGTTTGGCTGCTCCAGCAATGGACAACAGATTGTGTCTTTGAATTCTTTGGTCTTTAAAGCTTTCAGAAAAGGAGAAGGAAGTGTTAAAGTGGATTCTGGAGTTTTATAATTAGTTACAGGACATGTTGAAAGAATGATCACTTGTAAGTCCTTCTTCTGTATGTAGCCAAAAACCTGGAATAAAAACACTAAGATAAACTTTTTTTTTTCTTGGGATTACATATAATGGAATTCAATTATGCAAGATAGGTTTAATTTTGTTTTTATAGCTAAAAGCAGTTTAATTTAGATTTGCAGAGTTAAGTGTGATTTCTATCACTCAGCAGGATTTCCTGTACTCAAACCTAGGATCAAAACAAAGAATGAAATATGAGAGGAGGTAACAGATATAACACATGTATTAAGTTTACTGATTTTCTCTGTAGATTTACCCTGTATATCAGATTTTGGTTCTGTCTAAAGATCTGTGGAGAACTGAACAATTTATTTTTTCTAATGCTATGAGCAGAAAGGGAAAGGACTCCATATGAAGCCCCAAGATTACATAAATTAACAAAATCTTCTTATAAAGCTGTCCACTACTTATTCCCACATTATACCTCTTCTTCATTTCATCCTATTTAAAACTGAAATTTGCCCAGAACTTTTTAGGGCAATCTTGATTTTTTTTTTCAGATTGTTTCTTGAGTTGAACAAATACTGCTGCATAAAAAAACCCAGAAGTTCTGGATCCCAAACTTCCTCTCATATAGTCTTTGGATGTTACTACTTGTTAGTTTAAGATATTAGAAATGCCTTCTTTTTTTCACTGTAATTTTCATCCTCGTTTTTGTAAATAAGCATTCTATCACAGCAGAAGTGTACATATTTTCTTTATATTATCCTCTGAGGATTTGTATCAGGAAGGAAACAAGAATATGAAAAATAAGTTACAGAAGTGTATTTGTACAGTCTATTAAATTACATCTTACTGTATGTAGGACGAATTTATAGCATATTAAATACAAAAACACTTGTCAGGGACTACAGGATTCCATATTAATCATGCTGAACATCCATCTGTAATGTTTCAGAGTATGCTCTTTGTAACTTGATAAGACATTAAGATATACTTTGGTGGAAAAATGAAAAAATACATTACTAAATACTAAAACTTTTTGTGCTTTGTATAGATTAATTTAATTTGTGTAGATTATTTTTAACAGGAGCAGATATTCAGGATTAGCTTTCTTTTGGAAACTCTAGGGCAGGGGTAAGCAACCTACAGCCCACAGCCATTTCATCCAGGCATTGAAGCCAGGGGGCTTCTCCAGTATTTCAGCAGCGGCAAAAAGCAGTGGCGGCAGGACTGTAAGAGGGGCCTCCATTAAGCACCCCATGCTTCAAAACAGTGCAGATCCCTGCTCTAGGTTAAGTAGAGAACAACAAAATAACATCACAAGCTGCTGAAGACTGAAAAACAAGTTGAAAGATTTTGGAAATATTTTTGTCAAGCTCAAAAGAGTTTTACAGATGTCTTTAGCATCATTTAACTTCAATGACTAACGACATGGGAAGTTTGTTTAGAAGCAGTTCTCTCTCTTCCATCACTTGAAACAGGAGAATTCAGGTGCTGAAGAGCCCCCTCCTCCACCTTTCCAAGCAGGAAAGACCAGATATACCACTGCCGGTATGTTTAACACAACAAATGAATTATTTTTCCTATGACATTTATTTAAAAAAACTGTACCATTCATGGGGTTTTTTTTAAAGAAATTCTCTTTGAAAGAATCTCGTCTATGAAGCAAAAAACAAAAACAAAAACAAACAAACAAACAAAAAAACCCCTACTTTCAACCTCACTGAGGTCCCCTCTATACATTACTCTTAAGGCATGATTAACCGGGTAATCATGCCTTAAGTTGTGACCCAGTTACACATTCAACAAATTAATGGTGCAATAAAACAAACAATAAGCTACAAAGTTATTCCACAGAAAGGTGAAATAACTTTGCAAATTGTTTCAACTGCACCATTAATTGAATGTGGAGCCAAGTGTTACCCTGTGGCTGGGAGCTAGGTATCTGAACAGTTAAGCAATTAATCATGTAATCAATAAGCCCAGTGATAACCAGTTATAGCTTACTGGCTATCATTTAGCATGGGCTGGGTGCGTCTGGCAGGGAAAGGGGGAAGGCAAGCCACACAGTGCCCCAACAGCAACTGGAAGGCAGCACAGCAAGGGGAGGGTGGAAGGAGTGAAGGAGGTGGGGGGTGGAGGGGAAGATTAGTATCTATAGCTGGCTACACCCCAGTGTAGCCACTTGCAGCCTCCCTGCTGCCTGCCAGACTGGGCTGCTCATGACAGGTGGTGGGGAGGCTGCAAACGACTGAACAAAGGTCAACAGAGCCTAGCTATTAGGTACTAGTCCGCTCCCCTCCCCTCCCCTACTCCGCTGTCTAGTGGGGCAGGAGGCATGCTGCCTGTTCCCTTCCTCCCAGTGCTGCAGCAGGCTGGTAAAACCCCTTGCTTGCTGCTGCCACCCATGGCTTCCTGGGCTGTACTGCCTGCCGGGCAGGGCTGCATCTCCCCAGGCCCAGGTGTCATTGGGGGGGGGTCTACTGTCCTTTCCAGGGGGCAAGGAGGTGTGGGGCATGATTGTCGCCTGCACCCTGCATTGCTGATCCTTGGCCTGCCACGAGCTCCCTGAGGAGTGAGTAGGGTGTAGAGGGTTGGGCCCCTTCAGCCCCAAAGTGACAGCAGTGAGGGAAGGGGGCACTTTGCTCATGTCACACAGGCTGGGGAAGAGGGTAATATGTGGGAAGGGGTGGCTGCAGCTGAGGCTGCATGTGGGCACATAGAGCTCCAGAGCCCTGTTACCGAGCCCTAACACCTGGGCTGGGCTGGGCTGAGCAGGTAATGCGTTGCTTGTTGTGGCATTTTGGCTCCCTGCTGCCCTGCCCAGGGAAGCAGAGGTGTTTTCCAGCTAACAAAATTGCCAGACCAGCTCTGTGCCTCAACCCTGTTTGCAGCAGTGCCAGGCAGGGGAGGATGGCAGAAATCTGGGCCACCTGGCACCTTGGTCAGGCACAGGAGTAGGAAGCCCCTGCAGGAGGGAGCAGAGATAAATGGAGAAGAACCCTCTAGCTGTGAGCCCCCCCACCCACCAACCAGCAGGGAGCCCACCCCGAGCCTGTGCGCTGTAATGGGAAGCAAAGGCACTGCTGCCACCACCTGCAACTTGCCCTTGTGCACATACACACAGACTTATACACAGGCTCTCTCTTTCACATACATGCACTACATACGTTATCAGTTAAACTGCTAACCAATATAATTAGAAGAGCTTAAATTGGGGGGGGGGGTTTGGTTTTTTTTGTTTGTTTGTTTGTTTTTACACACTATGTTTACATCCCTACAGGGCAACACCACCCACTGTCAGCCTTGCAGTTGACAAGGTTCACAGTGGTGGGCTTGCAGTGGAGAGGACACTGTCCCTACTGTGAGCCACCAGCAGTGGGAACACCACTCTTCCTGTGAACCCAGTCAGCTGCGGGACTCAGCCGTGGGAGTCAGTGCAGGGGGAGCCCAGGTTTGTGATCGCAGGCTCCTTCTGTGCTGGTGATAAGCTGTGATGGGATCTGATGGGCGATCCCACAAATGTGCCTCCTGCCCTGCACCTGTAGAGAAGCCCTGAAAATGATATAACCTATTTATGCAAGTAATTTGCATAGCGTTCCAATCCATAGGGCTTCTAAACAACCCCCTCAACATTAAATGTTTAATTCTCCAGCTCCTGGAGTCAAGCGATCATAGAAGGATTTCAGCTTTTATTTGAAAAGCAGCTGTCAACATTGCGAAAAAGAAAAAAGTAAATTAAAAATTGCCTTCAGAATTGGACCTGGCAATAATGCAAGCTGCTCCAGCAGCAGTCTAAACAACAGCAAAATGGGAAAGTGCATAATAATGGCACAGATGGACCATACATGCTCAGAAAGATCCTTGTTTTAAAAGCTTCATCACCATTAAAGAAACAGAGCACATGCTTCTTAATAAGGACTTTGTTCATGCCAAGCTCTAAATTGGTTATTTTTGGTAGCTGTGGTGCTGTTCAAATGCAATTAGATTTTATTTTTATTAAGGAAGGAAAGTATTTTTCCACTCCTTAGAACTCAAAAGTGGTTGAAACAATTCACCTCTGAGCTAAAACCAGTAATAGGAAATTTAAGCCTAAGCAGCATTTTTTTTTAAAGTTATAAGTGTAAGAAAACACACTCTCTAATGGAAACTTTTACCAAGTTAATGACAGCAGGCATACCAAGTGACAGCTATTATGGGATTTCATGCAACTTCCAGATAGGAAATCTGGAAAATGCTTAGCTTTTTGGGTATTGTTTTTTTCTTTTAAACCAACAGAGAAAAGGAAACCATATAAAAATAACTGGGCACTATAAAGGGTGTGGCTTATAAAGAAACTTTTTTCAAGATATGGTTAACTTGCACTTATCTCAATCTTACCTTTTCAAGCCACTGAAATTGTTGATCCTCAGCCACATAACAATTGCACTGGCACAATAAAACCTGAAAGAATAGAATTGTATACAGGCATTTTTACATAAAACAAGAACAACTATTTGTCTCATAGCATCCTCATTAGCTTGCTATCTACTCTAAGTGTGGGAATTAGGTATGGGGGGTTACCTTGAATTCCATATTTTTTTTTTTTTTTTTTTT